CAGCCTGAAGTTGATGTATTTCCTCAGCGACCAGCACGGATCAGCTCCAGGCATGACGAAGTGGATATCGTCCTCTTTTGGAAGGCCAAACAAAGAAAGTAGTTTCGCTTTCACAACGAAACACACAGCGTCTTCACGACATGGCGGCAGCAACAATACTACAGCAAGAATAAAAGTTACGGCTTCTTTCTTTGCGTGAACATTTGGGTGGCGTTATGCAGATCTTCCCACACAGTGACGTAGATATGTGGGGGCGTGTTAGAACGAGCCGTTTTAGGTAGGCGTGGTTGACTCTTAACTTTTATAAAGAATATCTCTTTGGATTTGAGACTTTAGTCTTTGCAACTTCAGGGATCTTATCTATGCACAATCAGCTTGTTACACTCCAAAGAGAAAGAAAAACTTGAAATCGCATCATATGACCCCTTTAACAATGCGGATAAACATTGACCACAAGAGGGAGCTGATGATCAGCAGTTTGTCACCGGCCTTACACACATTCAGACTTTTGCTTTTTCTTCAGTATGAAAATGTTAAAGCATGTGTTTTGTAATATGGACAGTGACCCAATCTCTGAAGCAACTTTCAGTCCGTTGGCAATAAACTAGTATTTTAAGGTAAAAACTGAAGTGTAGTTTTTCATCCGAATCAGAATCAGGCAGAATCAGACTTTAGGTTCAGTTTGACACAATCAGATGCTTGACAACATGACGCTTGATAATAGTCACAACAACAAGTGCATTTAAGAATAAATTCTGCAAATGACAGCTCAGTGACATATTGTCACGTAACAGAACACATTTCACCCCATAAACAAGCAAAATGATAAAAATGCAGGAATGGAAGATGTCACGCGACTTACCTGTAAGTGTTTAGTCTTTGTTTACAAGCTGGTCTCTTGTTGAGCTCCCTTTCAGACCTTCAGATGAACAAATGAATCAGTTGTTGTTGAGTTACATTTATAATATGTAATTAATCATTTAATATTCATATTATAAAGCATAATTACAATCATAGTATTGTCTCTGTTGTTGTAGTCTTACTGTAGCTAATAATCTACTGGACTGATGGTAATAGAGTCAGTTGGTGTGTGAAGCTGCTTCATGCTTTAGTAGAGCAGCAGTGCTTTGCTTCTAATCAAAACCATGTTATATTCAGTCCATGTACAGAAAAAAAATCTGCCTTTTAGCAATACTGTTATTTACTATGAAGCAAAGTTTGACTTTAATTTTCATTGAACCAAAATATTATTGATACATTATTACTTATGTATAATGTAGTTTAAACTGACTGTAATATGTTGAGTTTTTGCTACACAATATGGAGTGATGTGTTTATTTATGTCTTTCCTCTACAGAATAAGGGATGTTTGGACCGTTACACAGCCAACAGAAGCATGTGGACAGACATTGACTGTGATGATGGACATCTGCTGATGCACAGGTAAAACTTAAAACAGTTCAGTGTGTGTTGTTTGCTTGTAAATGTGTAGGTTACCATCATTTTCTTTTTGAAGGAGCACCCCTTTGAAAAGCAAATGATGGTAGCCTAAGTAGGTGGGGAAGAGACGGGGGTTGAAAAAATGTATAGGAAATTTTATTTTTTCAGGCCAGAAGTATAACCCCTGCTGGACATTGTTCTGGAACTCAGGGGGGGACTCCATGATCCCCCACACCTTCTCACTCACGCCAGACCATTCACTCATATCGTGGAGATCTGGCTGGATTTGAACCAGCAACCTCTGAAACCGTGAGGCAGCGCTCTTACCACTGAGCCACAGATCTCTTGTCTGAACATGTGCAGGAACTTATATTTCACTATTCTCTCTGTCATTTTACAATAAACCAGTTAAATTTCAAACCCATTGAGCTGGGGTTTGAACCCATGGCACCACTGCAGTTCTGATCGTATGTCACGTGTGTTTAGCCATTAGTGCCACACTGGCTTTCACATTGAAAGCTTGCATTTGCACCACTTTGTTGGATATAATGCAATACATGAGCTTTAATGTAAGCAATAGTGGGGCTTGAACTCAGGACCCCACAATCCCAACACAACACTCTGCATCCTGAGCCACTGGAACAAGTGAGTTACAGGTTGTTTTGGACAGGTTTTATTGAGAGCTTTGGTTTATGCGATTAAAAAAAAAACCTTGAAGAAAGACATTTTTTAAGAGCATTTTAAGTGGTGTTTTGCTGGAAACAGTAACAACAACTGAACACAAGTGAAAGTGGGATTTGAACTCAGGACTCCACGATTCATTGATAAACACGTTATCTCATGCGCTACTGCGTAATGGCATCTGTTGTTTTTTAGATGGAAACACGATAAAATGGCAAATTACTAATTTTATGAGCCACAAAGTTTGCAACAATTTGTTTTTTGTTTGTTATGGTAGATAAACAAATAAAGTAATAGTAGGATTTTAACTGACTGAAACACTTTATAGCTATTGAATTTGTGGTGTTTAGGAGTATTTTTTTTTTATTATTATTAAAACTGGAGGCAAAAATGTATTGATTCAGCTTGACATGACACTGTTATTTATGGATGTCCATCATCACAGTCAATGTCTGTCCACATGCTTCTGTTGGCTGAATGTAACAGTCCAAACATCCCTTATTCTGTAGGTGAAAGACATAATTAAACCGACATTAATTCATACAGTGTAGCTAAAACTCAACATATTACAGTTAGTCTAAAGTACATTATACTTAAGTAATGATGCATCATGAATCTGAAACTGAAATTACAATGAGACTTTCCTAAATAAAAGTAATCCTAAATGGCAGGTTTCCTGCACATGGACTGATTCCTGTCTTGGATGGTTTTCATTAGAAGCAAAGCACTGCTGCTCTACTAAACTATGGCACTTCACAGACCAACTGACTATTAATCAGTCCAGTAGCCTATTGCCTACAATAAGACTACAACAGAGATTACAACGATTACTTTTAATTCTACTTTATAATATCATATCAGATCGAGACGGCGATTCATTTAAAGATTATAAATGTAACTCGACAATAACTGATTCATTTGTTCTTCTGAAGGTCTGACTAGGAGCTCAGCAAGAGAGCAGCACGTAAACAGAGACTAAATTACCTGACAGAGGAGCACTGCATCTGAATTGCACATCAACAAACACTTAAACAATGACTTAAATACCTTAATTAAGTACTGCTAGACGTGTGCTAGTAATTTTACACGAGAAATACACTGGAAGAGAAGGAGACTTACAGGCGAGTCGCGTGACATTTTCCATTCCTGCACTTTATCACAGCGTGCGTCTGTTTTGTTTATGGACTGAAATGTGTGTTGTTAAGTGACATTATGGGCCTGTTTACACCTGGTCGTTTCATGCGTTTTCGCTGATCGGATATCTTTCTGATTTGTTAAAACGTTTCCATTTACACGTGGCCACATTAACGTGTCGTCGCAAAACAGATATAAATCCGATCTTCAATTCCTGCGCTATATTTAAAATTAACGGAGTTCACGTCAACGAAATCAATAAGCGCTGCATTTGATTAATTATCAGCTCATTTCAAGATCAAAGACCGCAATAGGAGAGCGCGCGGCATCAGCACTGGAAAGATAGGTTAGGCACAATACTTTTAATGAAGATGATTGTGTGTTGACCGTCTGCGTCTTACTTTCAGTTTCATTCGCGGCAGTTTGTTTCTTTCGGCTTGCAGAAGAGATACTCAGCTAACTTACTCGTCCGCAGCGATGCGTGTTGCATTAGCGCAGTCTGACTAATGTCATATAGCCTATAACTCCCTCTCACACGTTTATTATTTTAACATTTTGGGAGGAGTAAAATTTACATATGTGGTTTCAACAACCAGATGCATTTACACTTGTCCAGTTTCGTCTGGAATGCGGCCCAGACCACCTCCTGAAGTGGTTTGAGCGATCGGATTTATATCCGCCTCGAATGCGTTTCGGAAGGCATTTACACCTGGTCTTTTCACGATCGGATAGCTATCCGATCAGACAAAACGCATGAAGTGACCAGGTGTAACCAGGCCAAGTCTGTAACTGAACTGTCATCTGCAGGATTCATTAAATCGGTTTGCACGTGTTGTGACTATTATCAAGCGTCATGTTGTCAAGGATCTGATTGTGTCAAACTGAACCTAAAGCCCGATTCTGCCGCCTGGTGGAGCGGATGAAAAACTACACTTCAGTTTTTACCTTACAAATCAGTTTATTGCCTATAGACTCAAAGTTTCTTCAGAGATTGGGTCACTGTCCATATTACAAAACACATGCTTTAACATTTTCATACTAAAGGAAAAACCAAATGTCTCTTTTTATTTGGTTAAATGTGTGTAAGGCAGGTGACAAACTGCTGATCATCAGCTCCCTCTTGTGGTCAATAAAATCATCGTAGGTGAGGACCGACATTTAATTATAGAATATTTTACAACAAATTTATAATTTGACCAGCAGATCAACTTAAATATGTTGCTGAACTCATGGCAAACTCATAATGTAAAGACATAAAAAATAAGGGACAAAATAACTTTTATATTGTCCATGGCTGAAGTAGATGTTTATTTGATTTTATTTATCATGTTTGTTCACAATTAGACAATGACTTTGTGTTGTTGTGTTTGCAGAATCAAGCTGCATTTATAGTAAAGCTTGACTGGATCTTCCTCACATTGCCCTGTGATGGACTGGGTGTTTTCCTGCTTTAGGTCCGAGACTCTGGGACAGACTCCAGCATCCCCTCATAGGATCCTACAGGAGAAGCGGTTTGGAGAAGGGATGGATGGATGGATAACAGGCATGAGACCAGATCAATGTGCTAATGTGCTGCTCTCCCTTGTGGACAATAAGTGTATCTGCATTAAGACATGAAAACAGCAGGAGGAAAGAGATCAATCTAATCCTGCTCCTGGTGAGCCACTGTCCCGATGTTAGCTCCAATCCTGATGAAAAACAGCTGAAGCAGCTAATCAAGGTCTTCAGGATTAAAATAAACTTTCAGGCAGATGTGTTGGACTCATTTGTTTTGCACAAAAAGTGGCTTGGGTTCAAATCCCACAATTGTTGAAAACGTTTTAGCTATTTTATCGTATTTTCATCTAAAACACTACAACAGCTGTCACCACACTGTGGTGCAGGAGATAAAGTGTTGTCTGTGACTCGTGGAGTCCTGAGTTCAGATCACACTTTTGCTTACATTCAGCTGTTGTTACTGTGTCCAGAAAAACACCACTTGAAATGCGCTTAAAAATGACTTAGCTCAAGTTTTTATTTATTTATTCATTTAATTATTTTTAATCACATAAACCAAAGCTCTCAATAAAACCCGTCCAAAACAACCTGTAACTCATTTGTTCCAGTGGCTCAGGATGCAGAGTGTTGTGTTGGGATTGTGGGGTCCTGAGTTCAAGCCCCACTATTGCTTACATTAAAGCTCATGTATTGCATTATATCCAACAAAGTGGTGCAAACACAAGCTTTCAATATGAATGCCAGTGTGGCACTAATGGCTAAACACATGTTACATACGATCAGAACTGTGGTGGTGCCATGGGTTCAAACCCCAGCTCAATGGGTTTGAAATTTAACTGGTTTATTGTAAAATGACAGCGAGAATAGTGAAATATATAAATATATATAAGTTCCTGCACGTGTTCAGATAAGAGATCTGTGGCTCAGTGGTAAGAGCACTGCCTCACGGTTTCAGAGGTTGCTGGTTCAAGTCCAGCCAGATCTCTGCGATATGAGTGAATGGTCTGGTGTGAGTGAGAAGGTGTGGGGGATCAAACCAGAACAATGTCCAGCAGGGGTTATACTACCCTCCATCCCTTCCCCACCTACTTAGGCTACCATCATTTGCTTTTCAAAGGGGTGCTCCTTCAAAAAGAAAATGATGGTAACCTACACATTTACAAGCAAACAACACACACTGAACTGTTTTAAGTTTTACCTGTGCATCAGCAGATGTCCATCATCACAGTCAATGTCTGTCCACATGCTTCTGTTGGCTGTGTAACGGTCCAAACATCCCTTATTCTTATTCTATTATAGTGAAATATATAAATATATATAAGTTCCTGCACATGTTCAGATAAGAGATCTGTGGCTCAGTGGTAAGAGCGCTGCCTCACGGTTTCAGAGGTTGCTGGTTCAAGTCCAGCCAGATCTCCGCGATATGAGTGAATGGTCTGGTGTGAGTGAGAAGGTGTGGGGGATCAAACCAGAACAATGTCCAGCAGGGGTTATACTACCCCCCATCCCTTCCCCACCTACTTAGGCTACCATCATTTGCTTTTCAAAGGGGTGCTCCTTCAAAAAGAAAATGATGGTAACCTACACATTTACAAGCAAACAACACACACTGAACTGTTTTAAGTTTTACCTGTGCATCAGCAGATGTCCATCATCACAGTCAATGTCTGTCCACATGCTTCTGTTGGCTGTGTAACGGTCCAAACATCCCTTATTCTTATTCTATTCTGTAGAGGAAAGACATAAATAAACACATCGCTCCATATTGTGTAGCAAAAACTCAACATATTACAGTCAGTCTAAACTACATTATACATAAGCATTGATGTATCGATAATAATATTTTGGTTCAATAAAAATTTAAATCACAGTAAATAACAGTATTGCTAAAAGGCAGATTTGCACAAAGACTGAATATATGAGGGTTTTGATTAGAAGCAAAGCACTGCTGCTCTACTAAAGCATGAAGCAGCTTCACACACCAACTGACTCTATTACCATCAGTCCAGTAGATTATTAGCTACAGTAAGACTACAACAACAGAGACAATTCTATGATTACTTATAATTACATGTTATAATATGAATATTAGATGATGATGATTGCCCCTAAATTGTGGAATAGTCTTCCACTGTGTATCAGAACTGCTAAAACATTGTCAGACGTTAAGGCTAAGTTAAAAACTCATCTGTTTTCTCTGGCTTTTAATGTATTGTAGAGATTAATCTCTTTAAATTGTTTTGCTCTGTTTTGTTTGGAATGTTTTAATGTGTGTTAATGTAAAGCACTTTGGTCAACTTTAAGTTGTTTTAAACTGTGCTCTAGAAATAAATTGCCATTGACACTACTAAATATATAGGCTCAAAGATGCACTAGTCAATGCCAGTGGAAAAACAAGAAAGGTGATTTGTGAGGAGAGCAATCACATGTATTTTCTAAAACCAAAATAAATCTGAACACCTCAAAATTGAAAAAAACTAAACAAAACAAAAAAATATAGATACTCGAGTACAGTAATTAATTACATTTACTCAAATACTTTACTCTGAATACAAATAAATACGCAAATAAATCTTCACACAGAAAGTCAAATGTCATGACAAGTTTACGATAACACATGAAATTAGAACAAAAAAGCAAATTCAACATTAATCCTTATTGCACGGCTATTTATCCAAGATATAAACTATAATTACGGTTATTGAAAAACCTACAGTTTTGAACATGTCTAATGCAATATACTTATGACAGTATATTCAAACAGCATTACAATGGGTTCCAGTGAAGCACTTCAATAACTACTTCAGAAAACTGAAAGAAGAGTTTGTACCTTCAGAACTTCATCTGAACCAAGGTTATGTCAGCAATATCAAATGTATGTGCTCCAAACACATTTGCTCTATTTGAACAGTCTCTAATGCAGCACTCAGCTCAAATAATACATACCAAACTGTATTTTAATTTATCATTCTCTAGATAAGTTCAGCTCAGTACTGCATGGGAGAATATTTATTTTAATATTTATGTGGAAAATACTGTGGAACCGCACGTATTTTGATGCTTCAGAGTGCCACGAAACTAACGAAACTCTGGCACATGTATAGAAAATAAAGACGCTTTAAACCATATTTGTATTCTTCTTAGACAACACAGGTAATTAGGCTTGTTTGTTTCCTTGTTAATTATTTCTTTATGTATAGCTCAACTGAAAGCATTGGGAAAAGTCCCAATCAAAAGAACAATCAGATAAGGTGCAATATCAATCAGCAATACTTAACCTGTCACGTTGATTATTATATGGATATCTGGATTATAACTATGGAACCATTTTATTTATTTATATATCTGAAATTAAATGAGTTATTTGTTAATGCAAATAATTAGACTATGCAAGATAGGTAAATAGACCTAATACATTAAAACAGTGTGTAGCCTTCAAATATATTTCAATTAAGTAAGCATTGCTTTAAATAGGCCAAGTGAAAATTTAGTAATAAAATAAAGAACAAAGAAAGTCATATAGAACAAGTTGCAAGTCTATTTGTCTGCATTTACCCTCCAAGATGTATTTTGACATCAAAATAGTCCCATCCATTGCTATGGTTATCACAGTGACAGTCATGGATTTTTGGATTCATTCCCGCATTCCAAATCCCGCATTTAAATCAAATTTGCAGTGTGTACTGCTATGGAATGGGAAATACACAGAACGCAAGCTAAGAGTACTGGTACTAAGAGTACTACTACAAACAGATTTCTATTCTGGATAAATGCTGTTCTTTTTAACATTTTATTCATCAAAGAATCCTGAAAAAAAGTATCACAGGTTCCAAAAAAAAAAAAAAAAAAAACCAGCACAACAGTTTCAACACTGATAATAAAGCAGCGTATTAGAATGATTTCTGAAAGATCATGTGACACTGAAGACTGGAGTAATGATGCTGAAAATTCAGCTTTGCGTCAGAGAAATAAATGATATTTTAAAGTATATTAAAATAGAAACCCATTATTTTAAATTCAATTAAATGCAGCCTTCGTGAGCAGAAGAGACTTCTTTAAAAAAGATCTTACTGATCTACAAGATATACAAATCTTACTGATCCCAAACTTTTAAACGGCTATATATTCTTTTAGAACTGTTTATTTTGTATTTTAGAAAACAGAATAGTCTGGAAACAAACATTTTTCCATACGGTTTTCTTTTTTCCATATCCAGTCCTGGAAATGACTGAAATCAAATTCCATATGTTTACATACTGCGTAGGGACCCATGCTAGGTTTGTCCTAAAATCCCCATCCCTCAGTTTTGACACTTTCAATCATTCCTATCATTTCCTTAGTTTCAATGGACTGATCAGCAATACCTTATGGTCCTTCTTTTTGCCAGAAGATTTCCCTTTTCACTGTCAGTTTCAAACACATATTCGATACTTTTCTTCTTTTCTCATTATTTCCATTACCTCCGCTATCCGCTCCAAACATCTGATGCTCCATAGTTTCCGGATCATTTCCGGAATCTCCTGCACTTCTTTCCTGAACGCAACAGTATCAGTCCTGCTGTGATACAGATGTTGACCACAAGAGGAAGCCGGTGATCACCCGTCATTCGCCCGTCTTACATTTAATGTAACAAATAGGGATTTTTTGTTTAAAGTATGACATATTTGAAGTAAGCTGCACGTTTAAAAACTCAGTAACCCAACTTTGAGTCATTTTCTGTCTGTTGGTGGTACAATAAGAACGGCTCGTCTGGTAGAAACTGCAGTTTGCCATCCGCTCCACTCGGCGGCGAAGGCAGGTTTACTTTCACGTTCAAAATGACACCTTTCCATCTCTGTAAACAACTTGACACCCTCATGACAGTCGCCGCAATACATTTGTATCGTTTTACCGTCATAAAAGTACAGTTTCTGCAGCTGACAGCTGAATGACAGACTCATAATGTCACTTAACAGCACATATTTCATCACAACCGCAAAAACAACCGACACACGCTGTGATAAAGTGAAGGAATCGACTGTCACGCGACTCACCTGTGAGTAACTTTACGTATAAAGTGCTTTTCTCTTGTAAAGTCACTGTCACGCATTATACTGCAGTTCTCGTTTATTTTAAGTCATTAATTAAGTTTGTATTGATGTATTATTCTGCTGTAATATCAAAGCGGGGCTTCAGTGTGTTTGGATGCTGCTGCTCTTTCTTTCTTTGGATGATGCGGCTCTTTCTCTGCTTAAAAGTTTCTAAAAACGCCAAACTTTAGAAACTCTAACCCTTAAAGTATTAGTTATTTTATAACCAAACATGTATGAAGGCAGTCGTATCTTTTATGACGGTTTATCACAGACTTTGTTTACATTCTTCATTGTAAGACATTTACAAGAACAATTAGTTGTTGCTTTACTTTTATAATGTGAATCTAAGGGGGTGATTTAGAGTAAGGTGATATCAGGTAAATTGGGCCACTTTTTTCTTGTGAGGTCTCAAAATGAGGCAATGCCCCTCACCCCTGAGCAACCTCAGACCAATAAAATCATTTGCTAAATATCAAGTACTGTTATGGCATCAGTTTGAAATTATTTGCAGTCATTGGCTGTTAACTTTTAAAGAGATAAGACACTCAAACCTTAAATGGCCCATTTTACCCGATGGCCCAATTTGCCTGATATCACCCTATATTAAGTAGAATAATAATAATCAATAGTGCTTTTATGTGCTGATGCTGTAGTGTCACTGTAGTAATAGTCTACAGGATTCATGTTTGTTAATGGTGTTGTGTGAAGCTCTGATGTTCCTTCTGCTTTATGGCACATTTAATGTTACTGTCAATATTATTCTTGTGGGTCTCATTTGCAGTTAGACACGTTTTTCACCTACATTTACGGTTACATTCTGGACACTAATTTATACAGTTCAGGTTTATTTTGCAGAATTTGTTGAACTTGATGTTTTTTTTTTTAAACCTGCTGTTTTGTAGATCAAGTCAGTTTTATCTGTGTAGAGCTTTTCACAATACACATTGTTTTAAGTTAACTTTTTTTTGCCGGGCAATAGGATAATTAAAATCACATCATTACACTACCCTAGTATCACTGTTTTTAAACCTCTGTCTATATAATCTATTTTATTATCCATGATTTAATCTTTCATTTTCTGCATCTAAGTTCTACTTCAGTTATTTGAATTCTATTAACAAAAAAGTGAATGAAGATTCTTAACTGTGTTGTAGAATTGAAAGCTTGTATACAATATGGAGTAATGTTTTTGTTTATTTATATCTGTACAGAATAAGGGATGTTTGGACCATTACACCGCAACAGAAGCATGTGGACAGACATTCACTGTAATGATGGACATCTGCTGATGCACAGGTAATGCTTATGTCTGTGTTTATATTCCAGGGTCATGCAGTCTATATAAACTGCATTTGAGAGAATGAGTTCGGGGTCAGTAGTGAAGTAGTGATAGTGATATTACTGAATCATATAGGCTAGTTTTGTGGCCAGTCATACATTAATGTAATGTGTTCATTAATCACAACAAAACTGGGAAGTAGGTTAAAAAGACAAATGATTATTGTTGAGCATTACTGAAGTATAAGTTGTTTAACGTTGTAGTTTTAAGAACATTTACACCCATCAGGAAGTATCTATAAATGACATCACTTGTGTCATGTGGTCAAACTTGCTTAAATTACTTTTAAAACTTTGAGTGTATATATGTCAATTGACATTTACTCATTTTTAGATACTTTTAAATTCTGGTTTGTTTGTTTATTCATTCATTCATTCATTCAGTGTGCATTTGCTTTTTCCTTAAACTGTCATTTTTCTTTCTTTTTTTTTTCAAATTGATGTTTTTTTTAATGCATGCATTTGCCTTTCCCTAAATTGACATTTATTTTAAAATTAGATTTTATATTCTGACTTTTTTTTTCAAACTAATATTTTTTTCTAAGATGCAAGCATTCGCCTTTCCTTAAAATTGAGATTTATTCATTTTAAAATCAATTTTTAGATTCACATTTATTTATTATTATTATTTTTTTAAATTATTATTACTTTTTTTTTTCAAAATGTGTGCATTTGCTTTTTCCTTAAATAATACAAGAGAACAGTGGCTAGTGTGAGCTTCTCGTGCTTGAGTGGTTAGAGCTCATGGCACTGGCGCTAAATCTGATGCAGGAGACCAGGGTTTGAATCCCCCCTCTGCTGAAGATTTGAATGGGTTTGGGATTTTTTTCCATACATTTTTTTTTTTTTCAAGTTCAAAAGTTTTTTTTTTTTTTTTCTTTGTTCCTCCTTCTCTCACAAGTCCTCCTCTCCTCTCGGTTACCGCCTCAGGTATGTCAGTCAGTCTGTGTTTTTCATCTGTTTTATCACCACAGATATGTTAGCCAGTTAGTCCGTGTTTCTCATTGCTATGTAGCCGTTCTGTTTCACCACCCCAGATTGCTCACCGTGAGCCTCAGATATCCACCTTTGCCACCACACCCTTTTGTTTGGTGTACCACCCCAGGTACTTTGCTGTTGCCACAGCTTTCTTTCTTTGGTGTGTTTGGTGGGATTTGAACCCAAGCCTCTACCGTAACTTTGTCCGCAACCAACGTGTGTTCAGCCACTAGTGCCATCGTGGCTTTTATACTGAGAGTTGTCGTTTGGGGCACTTTGTAGGATGTAATGACAGTAATTTAACATAAGCAATAGTGGGATTTGAACTCGGGTCTCCAAGATAAAAACACAACGCTTTATCAACTGAGCCACTGAGTCTTTGGAGTTTAGAAGTGTTTTGGGCGGAGCTTTATTGAGTGCTTTGTATTAAATGGGAAAAAAACTTTAGTTTGTGGGGATTGAACCCATTTTTCAGTAACAGTCTTCCCTCACATGACATGTGTCTAACCACTGCACCACTGTGGATATTTCACAAAAGTCACATCCATTTAGAGAGCTTCATTTGAGCAAATGTGAGAGTTGAACAGGTCTCCCAAATTAAAATGCAACATTTCATTTTCTGAGCCATTGAGTCTGTGGGTTTGGGGTGTGTTTTGGATGAGGTTTTATTGAGAGTTTTGTTTAAAATAATGAAAAGCCTTAACAAGTGTGGGATTTAAACCCACATCAGAATTGTAACTGTATCTTAAACAACATGTGTTTAGCCACTACACCACTGTGAATTCCACACTGATGATACCCATCTAAAATGCTTCGTTCAATTTAATGACTAAAATTTGACAAGCAATAGTGGAATTTGAACTCAGAATGAGCTCGACAAGCACAAAAGCCAAACGCACAACACTTGATTCCCCGAGCCACTGATTCTGGGTAGCTGAATGTTGTTTTGGATGGGTTTTATTTATAGCTTTGTGTAATATGATGAAAAAAAATAGTAGAAATTGTGGGATTTGAACTCAGGTCTCTTAGATTAAAACAGGCTGCTTTACCACCTGAGCCACTGAGTCAGACTTGTTTTTAAGGTGTTTGGACAGGTTGTGTTCAGAGCTATGTTTTATATAAGGAGACTATTAGGAATTATGGGATTTGAACCAATATTTTATATACAAAAAGTGATCAGCCAATTTGTGATGCTGGCTTTAGTTTTTTTAAGGATTATTAACTGTTTCAGCCCAATTGCTAATTAAAAAAATTGGAGTGGGATTTGAACTCAGGACTCCAATATTAAAATGCAGTGTTCTGTCATCCGAGCCATTGAGTCTGATCGATTAATTGAGTGTTTTGGACATGTTTTGTTAAGAGAGCTGTTTTTATGTTGACAAACATTAACAGTTATAGGATTTGAAACGATTTTACTTAACAATAGATGCGGCATTTTGCGATATAAGCTTTAGTTTTTAAGGGTTATTTACAATTTTAGCTCAGTTACAGCATTAAGTTCATGAAAAAAGAAAGAGTGGGATTTGAATTCAGAGCGCCAAGATTAAGCCACAATGCTTTATCACCTGAGCCACTGAGTCTGACAACTTGTGTGTGTGTTTTGGACAGGTTTTGTTAAGTTTTATATGATGACAAACATGAACAATTATTGGATTTGAAACAAGATTTTACATACAATAGGCAAAAAATCACCCAATTTGTGATGTAATTTTTTTTTTAATCAATTTAATGTTTTAAATAAGCTGAAATAGTAAATAACTCTTAAAAACTAAAGTTTGCATCACAAATTGGGCGAGAATTTGAAAAAAGTGAGAATAGGATTTGAACTCAGAACTTCAAGATTAAAATGCACCATTCTATCAACTGAGCCTAACAAGTTGTTGGAGTGTTTTTTGAACAACTGAATCTGTGGAGCTACTGGATGTTTTGGAGATGGATTTATTGAGTACTTGAGTCTTTTAAATAAGGCAGAACACAGCAAGCATGGGATTTGAACCTAGACTTCCATGGACATTACACTGCAACTCATTCACTGTGCCACAGAGTCTGTGGTTTTTCTGGAATGTTTTTAAACCCACATCAGTTTAGATCCAGCATCAAAAACAATTACAGTTGTGGGATTTGAACACAGAACTCCAAGACTAAGACACAACGCTCTACTACATGAGCCACTGAGTCTGACAAACAGTTTGGGTGTTTTGGCTTTTTTAAATAGTTACATCATTAAATAAATTAGCAATAGCAGGATTTGAACTCAGGACTAAAACAATGGTTTATCACCTGAACCTCTGAGCCTAACAACATGACACAATGCTTTTGGAACAATTTTGTTAAGACCTTTGTTTTATATGATGAAAAATATTAACAATTGTAGGATTTAAGCTGAAATTGACAAGTAAATAATCAGTTGTTGAGACAGATTTTATGATGTTTGAAAAGGTAAGTAATTATCTTCTGAGCCTCAGAGCATTTTATGTGGGCTTGGCTTGGTCAGTTTTTACTGGAATATGTATGGAGCCGTTTCATCAGTTATAATTTTGATACAGACTTTATTAAATGTATTAAAATGAATACAAATAACCAAATTGTCAACAAACATCTATTTTAGCCAGAGACATACTGAAAGAATCTCGTAAGATCTTTTGTCCTGTGTTTTATAGACAGTAAATTTGCTGTTGAGTCCAACACAACATTTGATCCCGTTTAATTCCTTGTCATTTGAGAGCTGGTCTGGATAGTTTACCGAAATTATACTTGATCCATGTTACTCTTTTGGTCGAGACCCTGACAAAAATAGCTTTGTTGTAAAATATATAAAATTTAAATCGTGGCCATCTCACCAACACCACCTACAACTTCAGTTTGTCATTTCATGAAACGCTTGAAACACTTATTGGCCACAAGAGGGAGCTGATGATCAGCTGTTTGTCATCTGCCTCATAGACATTTAATAAAAAAATGGTATGAAAATGTTAACGTATGTGTGATGCTTGGCACTAAAATATGAAGTGAAACTGAGGTGCATTTTCCCATCCGCTCCACTAGGCGGGGTAATCGGGTCTTCAGATCTTGACACTTTGACAACATGATGCTTCATGACCTTCATGACAGTCGTCACAACACATGCAGACTATTTTAATTACAAATCCTGCAGATGACAGCACAGGGACAGAATCATGTCATTCAGCAGCACTCGTTCCAGCCATACACAAACCAAACAGACACACACTGTGATAAAGTGCAGGAATCATTTGTCACATGACTCATTTGTAAGTTCATTCAGTTTAATTCTTAAAAGTCTTTATCCTACAGAATTAGAGATGTTTGGACGTTACACCTAGCCAACAGAAGCATGTGGACAGACATTGACTGTAATGAAGGACATCTGCTCACAAGGTAATGCTTGTAACATTTCAATGTGTTGTTGGCTTGTAAATGTGTAGGTTACTATCCTTTTTTTTCCCTTTTCTTTTTGAAGAGCCACTATATTTCCAATGTTAGTAATCTACATTAGATTTATATTATCTATAATAAATTGCATATAATGTAAATAAATATAGCCATATATATATAAATTGCAAAGTTTTCCATCGTTACTGACAGTGACAGCTTCTGTTTTGACTAGTTGTCTGCATGTGTTTTTTACATGACATTTGTCTTTACATATAACGTCACTATACATTAAACCTGGAGATATATTTACTCCTTTGGCCTGCAATATGAAGGATGCATATGAAGCCTGATGTGGCAGCTGTTTTCCAAACCATACTTTTGAAAAGCTCCAGTCGACATGATAACTGGATTATGCGGGAGTTCAGTTGGTTCTTTTTGACCCAGTGATTACTTACTGGTGTCTTCATCACACAAATCATTTGGCTTCTTTAGAATTATAATAGCTGTATGCACTATTTTTAGTATGTTTTCGTATAAGAAAAATCTTGCATGTATTATTAAATCTAAAGTGTGCTGAACATGAAGGAAAACATGGCCCTCGGGTTACGCTAAATAGCAATTTTTATTCTTAAAAACCATACACGATACTCGACAAGTTTAAAATGTAAGTTAAATCACGATATCCATTTACATTGCGCAAGATAAACAGACATGTTCTTTTATTTCCAAACTTTAAGATTTAAAAAAACAAACAAACAAACAAATCCTTAAAACAGATGGATAAACATTCATTCCCATTATAGGAAGACGCTATAGAAAAAAGTTATGGATTCTTTTAATATATCTGCTCTAAATTGCAAACTTAAGCAGTTTTTTTAATTTAATAAACATGAAAAATGAAATAACTTATTAAAAAAAAAATGTGCAGTTGCGATGACTGAAGAAATGCAAATCCCTTTCTCCTGTTTTTCTTCCTTTCTTCTCCTTTATTACACCCTTAATGAACCAACGAGTGGAGAGAAGCAACAGTCTGAACTGGAACCCTGCTGCCAAAAAAAAATCAATCTAGCCCTAAACATTACAAAAACACAAAACATGTTAGTATTTTGACCATAAGTTTCATGCTACAAGCCACCCTGAGTAATATATTACTTGGAGAACCAATCATGACCCTTGTTTAAAGAGTGCCGTCCCCCCCCCCCCCAAAG